GATATCTGCATTGACAGGTCGCTGTGGATTGAGGAGTTTGAAATGAATTACTCTTTTGATGTCCCATCAAATGCAAAGCATCACTTTGCGGATGGAATCCAGGTTTTGGGGTCGGAAGTGGTTTTTGTCTAGGACTGACCCATTGTTTTTGGCATTTAATATTCACATAGAGAATCCATATTTCATCAATGGCGACAATCCTGTCCAAAAATGGTTCATGTACATTATGCTCCAAAAGAGACAAAGCAACGTTCACACATTGGAAATGATGATCATTGGAGAGTTTGTGTGGCTCCCAAACACATTCTTTATGGAGTTTTCCCATATTCCTTAGATGTATATATATTGTTTCATGAAAGACAAGCAATTTCAGGGCCATTTCATGAGTGTGTGTTGCCTTTGGTTAGACTCAACAAGAGTCTTCAGAGCATCAATATCAATTACAACATGTCAGCCCCTGCCATCACAGTTTTTAAGGCTAAAGTTTCCTGAATGAAATTTGGTGAACCATCGTTGACACTTACAAACATTCAAAACATTTCCATAAACTTTGATATTCTTTCTGGCTACAGAGGTATTGTTTCCTTCTTGTATTCAAACAGCATTACATGCCGATTGTGTGTCTTGTCGTGTGCCATCACTATCAGGGATTAGAGTATACTCAACTCTACACATTACATAGGCTACACTAATGTGACATTTAGGCGGTTCGTGTAACTATTATATGTGATGTATGTTTTTTGGGAGGTAGTTAATGAAAGTGTTCCAAAACACGACATTAATTTCTTAATGATCTAATACAATTCCAAATACACATATTACCAAAAGTACTGGGACAGCACATTTAAAGCTAGAATTACAGAGTAGTATCAAGGTATGAGCCTGTTTTAGCTGATTTGCATTACATGCTTCAAAGAAATGTATGAGAATGGAGAAATGAACTGATCTCGTATATTTTGGAGTATTGACTGAGGGACAAAAGGGACAAATAAAACCATCACTACACTGAGGGGTGGTTTCCAAGGACAGCAACCTATTCCATCAAAAATGTTTGAGAATAAATGTTAGTATCAGAGACTAAGCCATGTTTAGTGCCAATGGTAAGAACACTCCCTACAAAAACAGGAGCCCAATAGCAAAATACAATATGCCCATTCTCAAGTTATGTTGTTCCAATAATTGTTAGTAATATATGTATATTACAACTTAGTAGTAACACAATTTCATGTGTTTTCACAAGAATTTTAGATGGAAGTTTCACAAAGCTGGTGGCATACAAGTCTCTCAGGCAGAAAAGCACAACTTCAAGAGGAAAACAGCTATATATAATTTGTGCATGTAATCGAGTGATCATATTGAAAGAAACTATTATTTTAACAAAAACTGAAGCAGAATTTCTGAAACTAAGTACTTTTCAAAAGCATAAATGATGGTAAAAGCAATTCCTGAATGTTTTGAATAAACCTATATACTTCAAACTATTTAACAGTGTTATACAACCAGTGATCTTCCATATAAATTATTTATTAGCCTTACAATGTCTTAAAAACAACCTAGGTTATCAAAATAGTTAATTGCAATTACATAACTCATCAATAAGTAGTAATCACTTTAAATACCTTTTTCTGCAACCAATTTTTGGACACACTTTTCATTAATACTTCCAATACCACCAGAAAACATGATAGGTTTCACCCACTCCCTTCGATGACCATCAGGAAGTTTCATTCCAAAAGACCTTGCAAAACCCAACAAAACAGGTTCCCCAAACTTGTTACCATAATCTGATGCTCCATTACTAGCTTCAACAATTATTTCCACAGGCAGGGCAAAGTTTCTAGGATATTCAAATGTTTCATCTTCCCAGGGAAGTTTGTAGCCTTGTTAACAATAGATAAAACATGATAATGAGTAGTGGAAACAAACACTACTATCTGTGGACTTCAGACAGAAAATAATAATTACTTAAATGAATAAATATATTGGCACACAAGCTGTATGAAAGCTTACATTCACATAGACATGATGTTTACTCACAATATCCTATTTTCACTAACCATTTTCTGTTTCAAAAATAATTTTTAACAAAAAAAGTATGATATTTCACTAATACCATACTGTTCAAGCTCTTAACCAAACATATTAAACTTGTATTCTATTAAAAGCTTTAGTTAAACCTATACATATAAGCAATTGTGTTTTTATGATATTAATTTCTAGTTTATACACGTTCTTCACAATTTATACTAGAAATATCAGCTGTTTTGAATGATAAATGTATCTGAAACAAAAGTGGTGTGTGTAGATAATAAACTTAAATACTTAGAAATATTCTAAATCTTTCAGTAATAATGATTTTAAAAAAAACTTTTGATAAAATAATAAAAAAAGTACACTATCTTCCCTTAGGCTTCTCTCCACAAACATCTTTTTCTGCATATGTCATGAGGTTTTAGTGTTACATTCAAAATTTAATTAAACTACTTTATTTTAATGGTATACCAATAAACATAGCATAAAAATGTAGCCAATAATCCATATCTTAATAGTATATACAAGTTTTTAAGTTCTTCCTTTTACAAGGCAATATCAAACAAAATCTAGAATTTCCCCTAATGTGAGAATTGGTACTCTTGGTCTATAGGCACCCCCTCTTCTCTAATGTATTTACCACCCCTCCAATAAGTATGAAATTTAACATCAATTACTCATTATAATATCCTCATCACTCAGGCAAAGCATACTTTTCATAGCCTTCAACCTTATTTGGTTATAGAGCCATGAAATAGACAATGAGACCCCTCTTGCCATGTCCACCTATCATATCCTCTATTTCAGAGATTGTCCATAGTTCTCTTTGGGATTCAATACTATATTATTTATATCCAATAGAAAGCAAAGGTTTTCATCTATCAAATGATGTATTATATTACGTTGTTTTCTAAGAGTATTGAGTAAAGAGTATTGTCAATTTTGCTTTTAGTTTGAGCTTGATTCCCACAGGAAACACAACAATGAGCTTAGATGAAGTTTTAACATCTTTTGTTGCATATTTAGTTAAATAAAAAATTATTTAGTGCAATGCTACCACTAGTATAAGAAAGTAGGGTTAAGTGTCATCGATAGTTGACAGCAAAAAAGAAGACTCGGGTAAGTACTTTATTTTTTGTTTTTCATGTGTATTCTTTATTTATTACTATAAAAGTAACTAAAATGTAAAAATAGAAAACTTTTTATGTTAGTTAAAGTTAGATTAGGTGAAATAAATAATAATAACAATGTAATAAAATTTTGTATGAGGTATGCTTAACATGAGCTGCACATTTGGCAAGTGATTTACAACTTATAATGTGCTTAGACAGGGTTCAAAAGGCAATAAAACAATAAAACTTAAGTATAAATAGATGTATACATTTATGAGATTAAAGCTATTTAGGATAGACAATGTAGTTTCATATTACAATTTGAAGTCATTCTAGAAAGAAAAAAGGGTAATTCAGATTTATTTCAATTTTCTTTGGTGGTTATGAGGTCAGTAAAGTTTATTAACCTTGTATGAAGTTAGGGTAGAGAAAATAACAGGTAAAATCTAAAGTTTTACTGAAAAAAGAACATTTGAAATTTATTTAGGGGGTTTTACAGATTATGCTCTGCCCCCACCGGTATCAAAATCCGGTTTCTAGCATAGTAAGTCTACAGACATGCCATTATGGAGCATCTTAAAGTGAAAATAACTTTTTGCTTGGACTAGTATATAGAAATACTATACATATATTCATGGACAAATCTTTATTAAAAAACTTCATTAAAAAAAAATCAGATTTTTTGTGTACACCAGACTTGTAATGTTTACTAAAAGTCTGCAAACTTTTGTGAAGATACACAAAGTGCAATAAAAGCTATAGTATGGAAACTATAATGAGTACAAAATGGACCTTGTAGCAAACCTAGCCTACAACCTCTTAATAGTGAAAGGTTTGTTTGTTGTTAAATGTACACAATGGACTATCTGTGCTATGCCCACCACAAGTACCAAAAACCCTACTTATATTATAAATGAAAGCACAAAACTTCTGTTTAGTAGAGACAACAAATGCATTAAATTATTGTGCTTTAATTTATACTTTTACCTCAAAATTTTGCCCATCTTTCTCTTTAGGTCTTAAAAAATATATCTAAAGTTCATTTTCAAAATTCCAAATTTACAGTCCAAAAATGTATATATAAAGTTAAACCTACCAGGAATATTGAGATTTCCAAAACAATATGAAGCTGTTCCAGCAATAACATGTGCACCTCGTCCTGCAGCATGAACATCTCTTATTCTGCCACCAGTGCCAGTAGCCGCTCCACTGAATGGAGCAACTCCTGCGGAAAATCAGCTTATTCATATACATTAAAGATCAAACGTATGTAACAAAGATCTTCTTCCCAAATTATAATTTCAATCACTAACTAGTTTTAATTCAATTTCATCTAGCAAAAACAGTACTGGAACTAAACTAGAAATTAATGAAGAAATAAATCAAACATGTAAAATATGTTCTAAAAAAAGATGTTTGTATAAGTGTATTGTAATACTTAAAAGCTTTTACTTTCAAACAATACAAAACAACACATTTATATTTTCAAATAAAAAAATTTAGAATATTATTATAATCTAGCTATTTTTACTGTAAGATGATAGAATTGATAGATACTTATTTTATTACAAGTAAAATCAAAACATGCCATACCACCTTACTAACTATTAGCTTACCAGTGGACAAGAAAATCTTATTAAACAACTGTAGACGTACATGCATAATCATGAACAATGATAGTGGTTCATAATAGGGATTGCAAGGAATTGCACAAAACCCTGGTAGAATGTTTGGGCAAAAAGCATCTTAAACAATAAAGATTCAGTTAAAAGAACACTTTAAAACCTATACTATTTACTGCTAAGGCTATACACATATAAAAATTCATATAA